AACCCACACCCGAGGCAGGGACTCGCGAGGAACCTCTTGGTGCTCTCAGTTCGAACCGAGCATCCTTGGAAACTGGCGGTTCGATTCAGACTTGGACTTTTCGTGACTCACTCGTTGCGTTTCTCTTCTCCTCCCTCTTCTTTTTCTCCTTTTCCTTCTTCTTTTTTTTTTCTCTCCTTTCTTTTCTCTCCTCGAGTTCTTCCTCCTCTTTCCACCACTTGTCATCGTTCGTTGTCCTTTTTATTCGTCGTCTGGATCGTCGCTGCACGTTTCTCTCCATCTCGTTGCCTCCTTGTTCACCGCCTCGTACGCGCACGTGTCTTCGACGAGAGCGTGAAATTGCCGTTACCAGAACGAGAACGTCGTGAAAAAAGTTGAAGAGCACGCGAAGAAGCGGCCGCAGCCTCAGCCTGGACAATCCAAACTCTCTCGGCGTGTACCCAAACGAGCACGTGGTGCCTCAAACCTCTTCTGTCCCAGTGTTTGCCGTCTGCTACCTGGCCGGATATGCGGTGTGCTGCATAGGCGATTGTTTATTACCGACGATTCCGCGTTGAGAGTGCCTTCCGTTTTCTCCTACGGGGATTCTTCTCACCACTTCAGTCATCGTAGAAGCCCATATGTGTCAAAAGTGAATACCGGCCAATGGGCGCGAGTCATTGTTGGTGAGTTTCCACGATTTTTCTCTCTGTTTTTGTTGTTGGCGCGATTAAAGACGATGGTCGCCGACTCGAGCTGACACCGGCCTTCTCAAGTGACTGTTATTGTTTATAAATATCACGGTTTCCTCTCTCACGAGATCCTAAACAAATGAAATTAGCTGCATTTGTTCGATCAACGAATTAGCGTGTAGGTATGCTTGTTGAAATGTCATTTATCAAATGTCGTTGTAAATATCGTATCTAATCGAGTAATTATACAAAAGGTAATTCTATCTATTCGCATCCCATCTATTTCGATGATCTTTGCATATGTGTCGAAGACACGAAGTTTAAGCACACACATATAACCATCGTTCAGCCTTGGTTTCTGAGATATTCCCGAAATCCAAACTCAATTTATTTGTTGGTAGTGTATTGATAATTAAGTTTGAATTAATAGCACTTAATAGTACCGAAAGATGACTGATCAAAAATTAAGACTGAGCGACGATTATATATGTACATACAGAAAACTTCAGAATGTTGATTTCTATAATAATCATCCATTCTATCCAAAAATCATCGAAATTGATGGAACCAATCCTGTTCTATATAATTAATTATGTTCTAATTATTCTTGTGATTATACCATCAGTTTAATGATATATATGTATAATACGGCAGTATCTATTAAAAAGAAAAAAA